GACCAAGCAACAGGCATCTCATTTAAAAGCAAGGATGTTGTCTTCCCTTGGAAGGAATGGGCTGTCAATTCATCTAAGGACAGCAGAGTTTAAGTAGAGGCTCATTACTGATGATAATTAGCCAGTGAACCTTTGGCTTGGCTTAGGTTGTGGGAAGCCTTGAAAAACTGCTCTGAGCTTTCAGTGGATGTGTAAGAGAAATAAACAGAAGGGACATTTGCAAGACCTGTGTAGAGGAACCTGTGGTGCTCAGACTGGGGCTTCTTCCCACGAATAGCAGTGAAAGCTTGCTGTCAGCAATGACAGCCAAAGGTCTGGATGCAAAACACAAAGACTTTTAATGGAGAAGCTGAAGCTGTCATTGGTCACTTTCATAGAGAACTCACATTTTCTTCTGTGAGGGACAGTACGATGTTCCTGGATGCTGTTCAGCAGCAGCTAAAAGAGTCCTCTGGAAGGACAGTGTTTCAGCATGGGGTTTTGAAAGCAAAGACCTGACTAACCTGAGGAAGGAGATGTCCAATGATGGATAATTTGCTGTGGGAAGTGGTTCTAGAATGTGGTCAGATTCACACTGATGATAACAAGGAAATGCCAGGAGAACCAGTGCTTGTTTGGATATGGGCAGCTTGGCTGGCTAGGGCAGATAGCACTGAAAGAATTTCCTATCCACGGCAAAATAACGGGACCAGAAAGTTAACATTTTTGAGCTGCAGATGCAGTTGTTGTTTGACGGTTCTGAGCTATTTCCTTGCTCCCATCCATCACACCGTTGACTGGCTCATTTTTTCCCCCTTCCAGTTTTTGTAGAACTAATCTGTTAAGTTCTGTGGAGTTGATCTTGGCTCATGGCTCACACCCCACATCTGTTTTTCTAGGCCTTACCATCTGACTCAGAATGATTGCATTTTAACTTCTTCCCCCCTGCTACCATCAAGCTTAAAAACGAAACAAAGCACTCCCACCACCATCAAGACATACCTGATGTCTGTCAAGGCACATGTCCCCTCACCTCCTGGTACTGAACAGTGAAAGGTTACCATAAGAATTTCAACTGCTTATTCATTCTTCTTTAAGATGACACAGTGAGAACTGACAAGATAAATACAATTATTCTGTACGAGTGAATTTTCAAAGCTCTCCTCTTGGTTCTTATCCAAGATCCTTTGAAAGCACATCATCAAAGATAAGCACACATACTGACCAGTGGGACTTGCCATATTCTTAAACAGGGCATGACATTTATTCTACCTTTTGAAAGCAAGGCCTACTGTGTGTCTGAGTGACCAGCGACTTGCCATAACCAGCCCCATGCACTGCAAGAAAGAGCAAACATTCAGACAGAATGCACTTTGTCTCTAAAGGTTCGGGCTTCCCCCCCAGCCTAAAACTTCTCAAACTATTAATCCTCTTTGAAAACTTAAGCTCTTAGATTCTTAACACCTTTCTGAATTTCAGTTAGGGTAATTGGAAGGGAAAAATACTGATTTCAGTGGGATAACTCCTACATTAGAGGTAACACGCTTAAGCAAGAGCATGTCTCTTGAGCACGTAGTCAGAGAAGCTCTGCTGAAACTGCAGATTCATGGCCTTCTGTTAAATTTGCTTAGATAGATCTGCAGTGGATATGCTTTCTACCGCTCCACATCTGGTAAGACAGTTAATAAATACTTCTTTCAGCATCATCTTTCCCATGGTATTCTGCCCATTCTAATTCTGCTGCTAGGCAGAGCTCAGAAACGCAGGAATGTGAAAGTTAGAGGGAAGGTTTTGCCCCAAGTGCAAAACAGTCTGGACTCCAGTACACACTGCCTTGGTGTGGGAGTTAAACCCTGGAGGCCAAGAGAGGACAAAGGCCATGGGTTAGGGCAACTCCCTGGCAGGTCAACCTCCTTTTCCTAACCTAATTCTGAGCATTGCAGAATCGTGGCCACCTCTGCTGGATTAGCACCAAAGTAGGATGGCTACAGAACCAAAATGGTGGCAGGTGGAAAAAAAAAAAGAAGAATAAAAAGAAAAAAAGGAAATGACAGTTTGAAGATTGCTATTTGGTAACTTGCACCAAAGAACAGAGAGGGAAATAGCTTTTCATAGAGGCAAACTAATAGGATTTGGAAAACAAGGTAAAGCCTTTAAACTGTTACACAGAGTAAGATCTCTGGTTGCAATTAGGAAATGTAGCTCAGTCAGGCATGGAGGCTTTTCCTTGCCAATGTCCGAGTCTTGTTTTGTCTGTGATAATTCCACATTCTACTTTTAAGAGACAGCTCATGCTTGTTGTTATGTTCAATACATTAGGCTGTGCAGGCATATTGTGAGCCCTTAAATAAACTGCTGGGGGGGGGGTCGGATGGGATTTTTTTTTACTGATGAACTTACTGAAGGTAACATGTAAGCACTACGACTGATGATTAATTTTCAAACCTCTAGACAAATTAATTTTCTTGCTTAAGGAGAAAAAAAGCATCTCTAAAATATTTTGGCTGTGTTTGATATGCAAAAACCTGAAGGATCTCCAAAACATCCATCCTTTGCTATGAATGATGCCAAAATACAGCCTGTGTCAGCACCCAGGGCCAAAGTGGTGCTTGCAAGAAACACTGGCACTGATTTCAGCAGAAGCAGTCTCCAGGCTTGCTCTCTCTTGGTTTGCTATGGCACACACGTTTCTGTTGTAGAAACTCAGTGTCTGCACTCACTCCATTCAGGTTTCCCTGTTCTATTCCCCATTCGTAGCCCTTGCCAATAGTTAGCCCAAGAATCATTCGTGAGAATTAGAAGAACAGTGGCAGCAAGTGAAACAATACAAACAATACAAACAATTAATTTCCTGCAACAGCATCTTTACATATATCAACAATAAATGCCACAAAACGAGGAATTAATCCTCCCTGCTCTGAAACTCTGCTGACTTTAATCCTTACTGATGCAAATTCCCCACTGTTCCAAAGCAAAAAGCCCACAGATTTCCTTTGTTGAGACTCTAGAATGAACGCAAGACACCGTGTGCATGAGCTACCATAGAATCACATTGTGCCCAGTTCAACACAAGTAAGAAATGGAGGCAGAGGACATCCTCTCTACCAGGGTTTGGTTTGCACCCTTTGAGCTGTGTGACTTTTGCCACCGTATTTCAAAGAGGTGCTCCCAGAACACTGCACTGAAAAGAAAGTTTGAGAGCTGGAAAAGGAGCAAGGGTCTGTCATTCTTGCTTCTAGCCTGGCATCCCTTATCCGAGCTGCTGGGCTTGCTCCCAGCTCCAGTCCATTACGAGGTGTAATTGCAGCGTAAGGAATTGCAGTTGTTCCTTATAGCTCCTTGTTGTATAAGCCTAGGTTAAAGAACAATCCATTCTTTACAGCTATTCCTGCAAAAGGCTGTGTCAAAACCAGAAAAACTGTCAGGCAGTACAGCTGCATTTGAACACCTCCCTCTTCCTTGGCTGCTGCAAGACAGAATTTGGAGTGACGACTGTTGTACAGACACTTGGATGCATTTTAGTGCAGTATAACACAGCAGGCCTCCTTGGAAGTGTGCATTCCTCACTTCAGTTGATCCAGAATTCCTTGTGTCTCCTTGCAGCAGGTGGCCCTTGAAGTCCAGAGAGCTCCAAGCCACCCTGCTGCTTGTAGTATGGACTTCTCTACTCCACCTTTCTTATTCTCCTTAAGCCCCTTACAGTCACTCCTTTCTCTCACGACCAAAATAAAAGTCCTTGAGACAATAGGTGTATCTTGGAAAAACTAAGAAACTCCAAAGCTCCAAACTTGGGGGAAAGCAGGTGGAAAGCAAGAGGAACGTATTTATAGTGTTAACCCAAGTGCAGCACTACACAAAATACCAAGAGGAAGACTTGAACATCATTTTTTTTTAACTGCAGATGGGCTGCATTAACCACAAAGGAAACACAAGAAGAGCTTATATCTGGAAGTAATAAAAAACATTTGCATAATGTACATGGTGCATTCAGTGCTAGCAGGAGGTGCTGCACGAACAACCCAACAGACTGGAAACTTCATTTGTCAACGGGAGTGCAAAACCGGAGATCTCCTTCCAAAAGCCTGAAAGTTCTTACAGAGGGAAGAAGCTGGCTCCATCTTCCAAACAGACTCTGTTCCACCTTTCAGAGGGTATCCACAGCTTCCCTGCAATCTCTGCAATATGCAGCAACTCTTCTCAAGATTCCAGAAATACATACACAGAGAAAATTCATATGATTCAAACAATTAGGTTTTACATCCTAAACCTGTGCTGAAAGTACAGCACACAAGTGCTGAAGTGATGGTGCAACAATCTGTCATGCAACAACTCCATAGGCTGGGTCTGAAAGCTGTGTCATTGCACTGATAGAAATCTGCTGGTGTAGCAATACCAGCCCTCCTGCCTGGACTAGCACAGAGAATGCCAGCACAATTTCACTCCACTTTGTCTCCACCGTTCTATGCTGTACCTCTCACTATGGTTGAGGCTGTAATAAACCCCAACTGTTATCTCCCACAGGCAGTCAGCTGTGGATGGCCTGAGTAGAGAGAACTTGAAGTAACACCAAATGAATGACGCTCCTTTATCTACTGTCTTACCCCTCTTTTCTTCAGAGGATGACATGAGTAAGAATGGCTCCAACAATCCAGTGAAATACAGGATGACCCAAAGCTACTTCCTCACAAGCTGTTGCCATGTGTAACATCAGGGCACAAACCTTCTTTAATGTAAGTAATAAGGACATGTGTATTTTGGAGCAAGGGGAGCACGGCTGAAATTCTTCCCTTGCTAACATGCCACACTGCTAAGCTGCTATGGCAGGCACCAGAAGCAATAAACGTAAAGGCAAAGGCATTGTAATGTAAGGAAAGGCTAGAGAAACCCAAACTGAGTTGTCATAATAACGTAATCCAGAATTCATCATTTTTGCAATCAAAAAGGAACTACTGATATGCCAATTTCCACCCACAAATAGCTGCAGTTGAGGCTCCGAGTTTAAAAAAAGTTCAATGACTTACCATATGTTGCACTGGATGGTTTTGGTCAGAGGTCCACAACGGATCAGTTAGACAGCAATTTCTCCTGTTGATACAAAAACGAAAAGGTAAAAATGGCCTTGCCAAGCCCAGAAGATAAGCACAAAGACACATTGTTTTAAATCACAGGAGAGCAGGTTGTGCTGGAACACATAAGGAACAAAGCAAATACAGACTCTTGGGGTGTTCAGACTACTGCCTGTCTGCCTTTTTCCAAGTTGGGTTGAATGAAAAAACAGTGTACAGAACGTTCAGGAATAATGCAGACATGCCAGAGCACAGTGAGCTGTTTAAGCCAGGGAGACAGCCCACCTACAGGTAAAGGGTCCAGGTGTTCAAAAGGCAATGAGGAGACATAGCTCAGACAGTGTGGCAGAGCTGAGCCAGTTCACAGCTTCACAACAGCTAGCCCTTGTTCTGCTTTTCTCCACATCTCATGGGATAATGCCCAAGCCTCTTGGCAAATGGATCCATTGCAATTTTCTATCTTTATCCTGGAGAGCTTCACTCCTGGAGATGTGCTGGGAAAGACACGATCAGCAGCAGATGCCCCAGGTTTTCCCTGGATCCTTTTTGTTTGATTTTCTCCTGTGCCCTGAGCACCTCGTTTGCCACCAGAAATAGGCCTCAGACTCTCAATAACTTCAACACTCACATTTCTTCCCCTTTGCCTGAATAGATTGCAGGTTGCCTTATGCACGGCTTACCTTTTATCTTCTGCAACAGCACCACTTACACCACAGATCCTGATATCAGTCAGCAGAGAGATAAGGGGAGACTTCCCCTGTAGCAGTTACTTCCAATTTATCCAATTCTGGGACATATCCCAAGTACATTTGCCAAGCTGTGCTATAAGCACACATGAGGAGGCTCCACGAGGCAGGTCCCAGCTTCCCATCTCTTGGACCACTTTGCCTCAGCAGCTCCAGAAGGTCTCAACCCAGTGGTTAAAAGGCAGGAGGGGAGCAAACAGCATTTGCTTTGTGTGACACGGAGGGCTGAGAAAATCTGAAAGACAAATTATTCAGAATAAAAAGCGGTGCAAAAACAGATTAGAAAACTACTGTGCTGTGACTATTAATGAAGCGATAGAAAATATCAATCACTCCCCGGCCTCTGAAGCTTGCTGCGAGAGAAGAATTAGGAGATTTTATGTTCCAAGTACCAGGAAACCGCAGGGCCCTGGTGCCTAGTTCTCAAAAGAACACTGTTTGAAACGCGGGGAGGAAGGCAGCGCTGCAAAGACAGCCAAAGGGAAGGTTTAAAAATAGCAGCTTTCAGTTTTGCTTCTTTTTTTCCTCTTCTAAAGAGTCTGGATATAGGATCATGTCAGAGAGTGGATGAAGAGAGCAGACCAGCCCCTGAGGAGAGAGAAGTCCTCCCGAACACTGCACTGCTGGCTGGGGGGCTGTGCCCTGCTCATGTTACCGTCCAGTCCAGGGCCCCTCAGAGAGGCAGGCTCCCTGCACCCCTGTTCCCCCAGACCAAGAGAAGGGTACTTGTGGGGTGACATCTGGGCAGCTCAGCAAGCTCATCCGCTGAGACAGCTCCAATGAGCAAAGCTAAGAGCTAAATGGGTGACTAAGCCTGCAGCATCCCCTTTTGAACAGATACAAAACCAAATTCCCTTAACAGTAAGGATATTATTGAAATGCTGTGCAAAGAAAGGTTTACTAAAATGTCTGATTTACTAATGGTCTGTGTGTGTGAGTGCAGGAAGGGATTGTGTCTGGCTGCTGTACGCTGGCAAATGTACTAAACCAAGGGAATAGGCACCTAAGCTCTGATGCTGATCAAACTCGTCCATGATCTTAGTTCAGACTCTGTGCTATATGCCATTTAAAAGGCATATACCATATACCATTTACCAGGCTGGATCCAAAGCACCTATGGAAGCAACCAAAAGCAGAAGCTGGATGTTGGTGCCTTAGACAGGCAAAGTAGACGGGAAAGTATCTCTTGAAATGGACAGCAATGTCAGGCAAGGTCTGCAAAAAGAAATCCAGTCAGAACAGACAAAAGGTCAAAGCTCCTTTCTTACAGGGATGCAGGATGCCCCATAGGTCTTTGTGGAGAGAGAAGAAAGACACAGCTGATGCTCTAGGTGGTTTTTCCTACTGGAAGAATATACACCATGGAGCATTAAAAACGTGTCCAATGTGTAACCAATACATTTGACACTAAAGTTACTAAAAGAAAAGGCAACACAAAGCAGTGCTTTTTCACACTTGGGGCTGAGAAGACAATTTTCCATCAAGATTCTTCTGGAAAATAGTAGGGAAGGGCTTAAAGCAATTTGCTGTTGCACATTCGTCTCTTACTGCACCCTCCTAGCACAGATCCCAGGACTTTCATTTGCTTTTTAGCCCTTAACAGTTGCAAAGTATCCACAAATACTCATTCTCAAGCCTGGGGACCTTGCTATTTTTCAGCTGGAAGACTTCAAAAGGTTTCCAAAGGCCAAAATGAAAAGGTGTTTTTATGTTTCCTAGAGAAAATCCTGTGCTGATGCAGGAAGTGCTGATGTTTGAAAGATAAACAACCAACCACACTCACTGAGAAATGGCACAAAACATCTTCAAATTTGCCTCAGCCAATGTTTTGACCTCAGCAAAGCGACCAGCCAGAACTAGCTGGAAAACTCTCAATATTTGGGAAAAATGTGGCACCATCCTACCATCTCCAATCCAAAGAAATACATGAACATATTGTACTTCTGGAACAATTCTGGCCCTGACTGCATTTTGGGGCTAGAAATGCAGACAGCAGAGGAAAGGGGGACATAAGAGGGACCGTAGTGGAAAACTGGCAGTAATGAGGGATGCTGTTTTTTCCAGAGTCCAATCTAGGAACAAGCCACGCACAAAGAACATTGCATCATGCTTATGCTTCCCAGGTATGCCCTGGGTTGAAATTCGGATGGATTTCTGTATTACCGGTGGCCACATCCCTCAAATCCTCTTTCTCTGCATGAAGAATCTTGCCTAGGACATTTAAAATACACTTGTCAAAGCATGAAGTTCTGGCAGATCCATGTTAAGAACAATATTTGCATTGACAGCAGACATGGGCGTCCAGCAGAGATAAGCAATGCAGTCATGTTTAGACATGAGAGTTCATGTCACAGCCTCATCCCAGGATAACCAGTGGCAAAATCCTTTTCTGCAAGAGGCCCAGTGGTTTGGACCCCACTTATGCCAGCACACACTGGACCTGGCTGTCTTGCCAGCTGCTAGCTCCATGCCTTCCTCTGCTTGTCAGATATTTGAGGCAACAATATGCCATTCACTTCCCTTAAAAAATAATAATAATCCCCATGAGAATCTGTCAGATGCTGTTCTCTTCCCACTTATGCCTCCAGCTGTTCTCTCCTTTGTGCTGTTTTGTGCAAATCCAGGTCAACCCTGAAAATAACTTCCTGGCAAATTTAAAAACCTTTCACTCTGTGATTTTAGGTAGAATTTCAAACCTTTCCAAAAAGATACTGCTTATTGTCCAGGAAGATCCCGTAAATCATCCTGCTTCGATCCCTGGATTGGATGAGAAGTTCCAGCACAAACTTGCCAGGTGCACTAAACTGTTTCCACAGATATTTGTATTCAGATTAGGTCTCTGCTAATAGCAACTCACCAGCAGCATTGGCTACAAAACTCCATCATCAGGTGCTTCATCAGCCAAATCACTGAAACCTTACACAAGATGACCTCTTGTTGCCCAGACCTACAGAGCAATACAGAACTGCTGCAGAGAGCTCTTTTTTTTATTATCTCTGCACTGAATGGGCTGGATCAACATTAAGGCCACAGCAGCAGGCACTGCAAGGCAGCCCCTGCCCTCAGGAGTTTAAGATCTAAACCAGACAAAGCAGAGAATAGTCCTTAATTGCTTTTTCTTATGCTGGAATATTTTAGACGAATAAAGCTGAAGGTTTTGAAACACAGTAGCTGGCTCTGAACTATTTGCTTTGTATTCAGCCTGCTTAAAAGGTACCAGGGTGAATTCATGCCATTGGTTTTCATTTGGGCAGAATCCCAGGTCTCTGACTTAGCTCCACATCTCGACTGCACCTTACCACTATGTCAGACAAAGATCCATGCAAAGCAACAGCATTACCTCTAACTGATCCTCTAGAAGTTTACATTTATGTCAGTGGCATTCAGGCACCTTCTGCCCCTGTTCCTCTGCTCAGGACCGTGCTGCCAGGGTAAACCAAATGAGCAACAACACTTCTCATGCAATCAGGAGTGAGCCTGAGTTATCACAGTTAGGGCATGAGTCAGCAAGGCAAAAAAAACCCACCCAAACAAACCCAACACCTACACCTGTGCTCCTGATGTGGTCTGGAGCCCTGGAAGCCTCCACCTGGGAAAGCAAAACAGTTTCTAATATCTCAGCTTTAGTGGGGAATTTCCTTTCTGTAGTTCAGGTGGAACAATGCTTCAAACAAAGCTGTCGCAGCCTGATGGCTGAAGAGGCAATTTAAGGGAAGGCATCCAGTAGCTGGAAATAAGGCTCCATTGCATTGTATTAACTATTAAGCTTAGTGCAGTAAGCCAGACAACTGCATACTGAATTAATAATGTTATTTATTCCATTTGGTGGAGTATGGAGGACTCTCAATCGTCACAGCTTTTTAGATCAGAGCTGGCACCAGCTTTGAGAGTATTTTATGGAAAACATAGAGGTGGATTGAGTAGCTGAAAGAGAAGAGAGTGTGAATGTGTGAAACACAGCAGATTTGGTAATAATAAAGTTATATGGCCTTGATTCTTCACTTGGCTTCTAATGCTCCAGAAACACTTTGTCTTAGGAAAGCATAACTGAGTCCCCAAAGATAAGTTTAGGTTGGATCTTGTGTAGGATCTGGAGGCACTTAACTTCTTTTATTCTTGTCAAAACATTTATTATTTTGAAAGCAGAAAGTATCTGCTCAACTCAAACAAAAAAGTGTCATGGAGAAATCTGAAGCATTATTTTTTTTATTGGGGAAAAGGAAAAAAAAAAATAATAAAAAGCTACAAAGATGAAAAGAGTGCTGATACACTTGTCCAAAAGCAGGTGTTCTCCCCCAGCCCCTTTTAAATTTGGAATCATCAACTACTGAAGAAATACTTGCATGAAGTTTCACACAGTAGAAGCTTTACCTTTTGAAATGGGAATTAAAATATTACAAAGGTACAACAGGACATCCAAGATACCTTCCCTGTTATTATTCTTCCATTTTTTCTGCTTCCTAATGCTGGGCTTTCTGATTGCCATCTGAAAGCCGTGTGAAGAAGTGGCTCCCCTTGAAGGAATTAACATTTTCCCCATCACTCAGAGGTACACCCTATCACTACTCCAGTGTATTTTTCAACCCATTTTTCAACCCACTTTCCATTTGCTGTGGGTTCTAAAATTCAGTCTACTTGAGAAAGAAAGAACTGATCTGCTATTTCCTGTAACTCCAATTTCCATGCCTTTCATGGAGCAATTTCACTGACTTCACAGGAGCCTATCTAGATTTACACCTGCACAAAACCGAGGCAAAAAACCCTGACCTTTGGCACAGAATATCAAGTTCATAAATGTGTTCTGTATCTCTGTGAATCTCCCCTTCTACAAAGGTGAACAGCTGTTGCTATAAATCAGACAGTCTGAACTGGCCATTAGAACTTCATCCAGATGCTCCGTTTAAAATATACAAAGGCAACGTTTTGGAAATCAAATCTACCCTGGTGTCCTCAGGGACACCTTCTGTTGGAGAAAATCTCATAATTCAAAGTTAAAATTAGCTCACTTTAATGCTTTTACAGGAGAACCAAGATACTCAAGAGTAACATTGCCTTGAGAAGGCCTGTTAGATGACTTAAGGGATCCCAAACATCTGGCACTTTGGTACATACTGCACTGGAGACATCTAGCATCTTTTCCAACTTTGCTGTGGTTGTAACTTTGGACCATTCGACAGAATGGTTGTATCTAGTCCAGTTCCCATCAACCATTCTCTCCATTTGAGTAGGAAACACTTGCTAAAGTCTGGAAACAGCTGGTAGAATTGACTGTAGCTTGTATTAGCAAAAAAAAGTTCTTGTTTCTGACCACAGACTGCCCTTTAGATTCTGGCTGCAATTGCCAAGGGCTCCTCATAGCTTTTAGGATGAGGTTGTGTCATCCAAGATGTAGCTGGCTGTTTTAAGGGTTGACCTTTGGAGCATAACACTTGCTGTCAGAACAAATATAGCTTCATGCAAAAGCAGAGGGGAGCAAGATGAGCAGACCCATTCTTCCAATAAGACAGAGGGAGAATAAACTGATTTCCAATTGAGAGAAAGAGAGCCATATCTTTCACTCTCAGGGACATGACATAATTCAGGCAGGCCAACGTGTAAGTCTTACCTACATGCCATTCATCAGAAGTTTAATTCCAATTAGGGCAGGGCTTTCTGGACTGAACTTGCTGCTGCTTCAGTACATAGCACACATTTTTGCTCTTATTCATATGAAGAGCTTAAATGAAGCTCAAAGGCACGAAATGGTTCCTCGGTCACATCAACCACTGCATAGTCACTTGTTTTGTTCCCAAGGTGGCAGTCTCCTCTGCCTGCATCAAAGTCACTGCTTCATCCTGAGAAGTAAGACCAAATAAAGAGTCCTGTTCTGTCAGGGTTTGCCATTCATCTTTCTAACAGCACTGGAGTGTCAGACACAACACGAACACGGAAAAATCGATCAAATACAGACAGAGCTCCACTTTGAGCCTCCAGACAGTCACACAGAGTAACAAGCTGAGCTCCTTTCCCTCAACTCCACGTGTTATTCTGAGGCTATGAAAAGGAACTTTATGATACGCTGGAAGGGGTGAAGTATCAAAAACTAGACTGAAGAAACCAAGAGCTTGGATTCTTTTTCCTTTGATACATGCTTATGTAAATTCAAATAAATATGCCTAAATGCCACCTTTCTTTAATACTAGCAGAGCTTATTAAATCTATTTAAGTTAGACAAGCTAGGCTTCATGTAACGCCAGGAACTCCCCAGACAGTTTTCTTTCCTACTTAACATGATACTCTACAATTACACATACCAGAGACTTCCACTCTAGCATTTTAATTTACAAATACTTTTTACATTTTTTAATGTCTCTGTGGGCAAGTAGGCATTAAGAGTCCACTTTGTTCAAGTGTGATCAATCGAAGTGTGGAGAGGCAGCCTGTTTTGCTCCAGATCACACACTGCACTAAAATACTACCAGAGTTTGGAAGCCTCCTTCCTTGCCCCTCCTTAGTATGCAGGCAGAAATAGAATTTCTAATTTAATTCATCATTTAAAAGCAGATATATTATCTGAATGCTGAGCCAAATGCTCCAAACAGAGACACAGAGTACAAACTCAGTAGCAAAAGGCCATATGAAGCAAGTAGAGACCAACCTTAACCAGAACTGGCCACAGTGAGGACGTCCATCACTCCTTCCTCACCAAGGGAGCGCTGCTCTCTGTCACAAAAATTTGTCAGACATTTCCTCCACGTCTCTTCCCAGAGCCAAGTATTTTCTAGGGGAGAAATAGGTATTACTAAACTATACCAACTCATTTTTGTGTTTTCTCAGATATCATACAGCAAGTGGGCTTTATGGGCAGTGCAGCAAGGGCAGAAGATAAACCCCAAGGTGCATGGGGAGGTTGGATGTGTAGGAAGGTATCTGAGCTGCAGGAGGGAAAGCTGGGAGATGAACAGCCCTGGGGATGGCTTGGAGTAAATCTTGCACTAGCATTTCTGCTTGCAGATCTATTCCTGAAACACTCAGTGCACAATGTTTCAAGGGGATAAACTGAAAACTGCCATCCCTGCACATAAGTAAAGGGAATTGTCATAAAGCTAACAGATCCTTCTCTTAAGTAGCTCCCAAGAATATGAAGTGAGAATGAGGTGCCTAAGAAAATAACTTTCCTGCTGCTTGGGAAAAACACTCCTAGGACAATAACTTTATAGCTGTGATTGATACAGGCTTTGAAAGAAAGCAGGGGTCTGAAAGACTCTGTGTATTGTCTGAACATGAAGAATAAAGACATCAAAATAAAACAGGCATTTTTTTTAAGGTCTGTTCCTTACTTTCAATTATCAGCTCAAGGGTAAGTTGCTGGAATGATTACAGGCTGCCAGTTGCTTTGTGGAATCTGATACACACCTGGCAAGCACAGGGAGCAGTGAGCTGTTGCTTGTAGTGTTCTGCCCACCCAAGGGACCATCCTTGCATGTCAAGTTCTTTGTGGGTTTCCAGAAACAGATCAGTTGCCACTCTCTGGCTGCCCTATCACTGCCAGAGGTGATGTGGACTTTTTTTAAATGTCTCCACAGAGAATTTTTACAGCCACAATGTGCTCCAAAGGTTGGAGCAGAGAAACATGAACCCATGACCTCTGCAGCTGAAACCCTGGGACTCCACAGGAGCTCTGCAGTTTGTTTAATCTGAGGCAGGATTTGCTGCCAGGTTTGAACCCCCAAGACTTCTTACTGCTACACCTTGATGGTCTTCCTGTCGGACACACCACTTTCGATTCTATTTGACAACTGCTCCATGCAGAATAACTAGGTGTGATCGTGGAGTCCAGCAGTGGAAATCATTTACCTGTTGGGTAATGGTCCCACTTTTCTGCAGAATCCAGACCACTGGCTTTGCTGAAGTTGTGATGGACAGAGAGCACGGAAGCTTGCCTTGGGAAGAAATCTATTGGCCGCTCTTCCTTCTTTATGTCACTTCACTGACTTCTGGGCAACCGCAGCAGCACTGAGGGTGGGTTTGTCCATCTGGGGGATCACAAAGCTTCCTTCAAATCCTTTCTTATTTACTCCAGTCAGCTGTGTTGAGCGTATCGATTCAATCAGCTATTTTCCTCACCGTAAAACCAGATGGGTGCCATCACGGCCCATCTACAGGGACTGAATCAATGCCATTTAGAAAATGCACAATACAAATAAAAAATCCCAAGAAAGATGAGATATGCTGATGTTTGGAGCTCTCAGACTTTCCTAGGTAAATTGCTTTTCTTTTGAGTCCCATTTGTTTCTGTTACCTCCAAAGAAATGCTGTTGTAGCCGCATTTCTTGGAAACAGCGTTGCGATCTAATGGGTCTGATCTGAATTCTCAGGGGAGACTCTGGAGAATAAAGGGAATGTGGTATTATCTTTGCTTCTGGGCATCAGCAACTTCTGCAAGCAGTGTGTGCAGTACATGTCATTCTTTGCTGAGGCAATTAATTACCTTGGTCCCCAGTGAGATGAACTATTCAGCTTAAAAAAACACTGCAGCTCCTCGAGCTTCTGGCTATTTGGGTAGATGTGTGAATTAGGGGGGCTGTGGTGCTCAGGTTTTGTTTTTTCTCAGAACATGTTCTATTCTTTTCCAATGTACTTCTTATAGACACTGCCACCTGAAGCAGTTCCTCTTAAGAGGAGTCACATAGGAAATGTGGCCTGGCTTCTTCTCAGCTTTGAATACTGGCTACCAGGTCTCCAGGTCACCTCCTTCCTAAGCAAGTCTGAGGAGCAGAGGAAGGGAAGGACCCTGTGCCCCATCTATACCTGCAGCTACAAAGAGGACTCTGTACAGGAACAGAGTGGAATTTGCTGGCTGCTTTAAGCAGTGCAGCTGTAATATGCTACATGCCAGATTGTAGACATTCCTGGCACAGATTTCCAGAATATGAATAAACTTGGGATGTATGTATAAAACAGCACACAACATGGCCCTCAGAGGCCGGGAGAGTGCATGGCAATGCCTTTGTACATACATACAGCCTGAAAGGCCAGGTGTCACTTTCAACTCCAGTATCCACATATGCCAGTCCATTCCTTCAGTGTATTGGAGGAATTATAATGTCATACCTCTCCAATGCACAGCCCCATTTCCAATTGCAGTGTCCCCTGATGACTGTCACAAGATGTAGCAATGAAATACCACAAATATCATGAGCAGGGAGGCAAAGAGAACTTGAGAATGTGTTAATTAGGAAGGCTTAGGTGGGCTGCAAAGTCTCTAAGGTCGTCCATCCTGAGATCCAGCAACAGGGGTAGAGTCACAAGTGATTCACTGCAAAGAGAAGCATTATTTTAGAAAATGAATAATTAAAATTCAGGAACTGAGGAGCACTTAAGCAAGCCAAATCCTAGTGTCTGTGTAAGTAGCATACCCAGTGTGTGTCTAGTCCTGTGCCATTATAACACTTCTTTGGAAAAAAAACACAGGGAGAATAGGACTCCACAGGCAGCAATTAAATAGTCAAGAAAGATACAGCGACCCCACATCTAACAGCTGAGTACTCTCAGTCTCTGGGGAAAGACTGCTGCCATATCGATGTGAGGTGGTTTTCTCTGATGCAAGCTGGTGCATCAGACCTTGCAAGAGGCAGTGGGGGTCCTTCTGATGACACAGTGATAATGACTTTGCATCACCGAGTGCTGTTAATTAAAACCAAAAGCAAGAGAATGCTTTCCAAAGATTACTTGCTATTTTTCCTCCCCGAGTTGTTTGACAATTTAAAGAGTGGAGCTCTGTGTGGGCACAAGTCCAAACACTTAAATTAGGCCAGAGGTAACTTGTGTCCCTGGCAAAACTGCCATAGCTGCAGAGAGAAACAGGTCAGCAACAACAAATTCTGGAAACATACACACCCAGATGGAGGGTTTAAAAGCATGAACATGGCATATGCTCCTGAGCTGTTCTTTACACTGCACTATGTTGCACAGTGTTCCTTCTCCTCTCCAGAGCAGAGAGAAACAAATCTTTAAACATTCACGGTGAACTTTCAAATCAATAACATATGAAACTTTTTCTAAAAGGTGAAGATGTTGTAAAAATCAATGTCAGAGAGAACACTTTGCCAACTCAATTATGCTTGTTCCTCTCAAACTGAAAACAAACGAGAAAAAGAGACAAGAAACAAAAGAAAAAGGAAAAAGAAGTGGGCTTATTTCAAGCCCAATAAGCGTTCCTTGGGCTAACGTCCCAGTTCGGTAAATATTCTGAGGGCTTCTTATGCCAAGTCCCCTCAAGGGGTCATAATTAACTTAACATAACATAATTAACCCTAAATAGGGCTACCTTGTTTCAGAATCGGTCTCATTTTAAGCAATATTTCTGTCCATGTCCACAGTTTTAAAATAATGTTGTGTCTATTAGATGGCATGAAAGTGCCCCAGAAATGGAAATCAGCCATCAGAACTTAGACCCAAATAAGTATGATTAGACATGGCAGCTGTCTAGAAAACATTCAGCTATTTCACTGAGTCTTGGACAAAATATGAATGATTGTGCCCTTTCCAGCAAGTGCAGAACCAGAAAGGCTCCCACATCACCCTCTGCTTCTCAAGGCAAATTTTGTTTCAAAGGTTGACCCCAAAGAAAAAGAAAACAACAGATATAAGTACAAACAGCTGTGCTCCTGTGGGGTTAGCTGGAGACTGCAAGGAGCAAGTGAATCACTCACCCAAAGACATGCTGTACACAGCACCCAACCAGACTGCAGAATGCAGGCCACCACGGGTAGGGCTGAATGGTGCAGCAAAATCCTCGTCCAGCAATCATAACAGTCTCAGCCTCCAAGCAGGACTTGCACTTTTGGTTTTAACATGGACGTGTCACCTCCATACTCTCTGGAAAGGAAATAAATGTCTGCCTAGCAGGCTGATGTGTGAGTCTTTTCACAGTGCTGAGCAGGGAGATCCTTTACCTCTAAGTGGGTGAGCACCAACGCATGAGACTGAATGCTGTCCCATGCCCTGCTGTGTGATACGTGCAGTTCAATTCCAGACTCCTCGCTTCACCACAACAAAGCTATCAGAATGTCCTTGTATGCAGGTCACCATATCCCAGTTCTTGTCAATCGGCCGTCAGTAATCTTCTCATAGCTGAAAGAGAATGGCTAGGAAGTAAATAGCAACACCAGTGATTTCAGAATGACCTTGGACACTCTCCTATGACAAAAATCTCATAAACAGACACCAAATACAAAATCAATTACAGAATACCCTGGAAATCTGTACTTGGTTATCTTGAAACCAAACCATGTCAGGAATTTGGGTGAGTTTTTACTTAAAGACTCACATTATTGGCGCTTGATCAGATACAGATAAGTTAGATTTCCAGCTTGTAAAGAGAATAATGCAAAAGGAATTGGAATAGATTAATTTCACATGTTTCATTTCAGGACAGGTAGTTTTCTGAAGCACTAAGACAACATTTATATAAAACTAGATTATAATGGAGCTGTAATTTATGGGAAAAGTTTTAAAGGTTTAAAGCCCAACAGTTTTTGCAGCACTTAAAAAGTTTTTCTCAATATGGTGCCAAACCAATAAGATTCACAAGCTGTTGAACATGTGATTATTACTATTTTTACCAAATACTTGATTACATTACTTGGTTTGCCCCTTACCAGGGGGACAGAGTTCTAAAGTACAGTTTGTGGTTTTCTAAGAGTCAGAATTATTATCACATTTTCCTGATATTTTAGTGCAATACCAATCACAAACACAGCTGGGGCTTGCCCACGTCCTGCCTGTGCCCTCCACAGAGTACCTGCACTACAGAGATTACTACTGCAACAGGCAGAAAGATCACAGCCTGAAGCACTTCTTGCAATGCACCTGGGCTGTGACAAGGATGTTCAGTGCTAACATGCATCCCACTGAAATACTGAAGGCAAGTTGTGCTGCCATAGAACTTTGGAATCTGCATTTCTAGAGAATGGGGTTTTATCATCAAGGTTCACGATGAAAACTTCACCGAGCAGAGCACGTCACAGGACACAGACCTCAAAATACTCAAAATATCCTCATCAAGCCTTCTTTTCTCCAAACATCTCTGCTAACACTATGGAAGCAATAAAATACTTCAAACATACTGCACAGATCAGCTGGAAATACTCCAAAAATATCAGTGTTTTTAAGCTATTCCCTTCTCTGCTAAAAAGGTATCATATCTTGTTCTTTACCTAAAGCATTGCTAGACAGGAGGGAACAGATACTAAAACATTTCCAGGCATGAAATTAATAGAAGACTTTGTAGTTTTATTGGGGAAGAAATACAGAATGGACAGAAAATATCCCTGTAGTATCTTTTCACAAATTAACTGGCAGACCTGAAAGCCATTTCTCTCCAAAAGCCTGGACTGAAGTTACATTGGATCTCATGAAAATAGCCATGAAGTCTGGTTTACCAAAATGACTCCAATAGCATTAAGTAGTGTTAGACTCTATAATAATCCAAACAAAGTTTGATAGAAATATGATTTTGCAAGTTAAAATGAAAATACTGAATTTTCCCATGAGGAAAACACAGATAATAAACCAGCTAGGGAAAATGTGTTCAACGACCATGTGGATATCAGTATGAAAGGCAAGCTTTTTTTATAGTATCACCTCATTCTTATTGGTTGTTAGAAAACTGAAAAGCTCCCTGCACAAGGTGATGGAGAAATCCTGTTGGGACCTGGCTGTGGATACTGAATTGCTTTACTCTTCTGAGTTGTTTTAGCTGAACTGCTCCAGTGTGGTGGTTATGTTTCTCCCCCAGACACCTGCATGAGCCAGTCTGTGCTGCCATGTCTACCCTACAGGTGGGGAGCAAAGGCAGACAGCAGTAATGGGCCAGATTTCCAACTGCCCTTGTTCATGGAAATTAAAGTATTTGTTGAAACACAGCTCTCACATGCTCATGCAGGGTGCTTGATTTCCTTCCAGCCCAACTCCAATGGGAGCCTTCTAAATAGTGTAAAATACAACACCTGAACGTTATGATGGAAGATCAGAATGACCTGTTGCAGAATATGCTGGCTACTGCGATCCCAATGGCTTTCCTGTGCTCATCCTCACTCTGACTGGCTGGAAGTGTCAGCAAACCACATGGAATGGCTGCGAATGACTCTGTCCTCAAGACTGTGAGCAATGCAGCTTGTAAAATGCAACAATAAGGACACCATTGGTATCTGTTCCAGCTCGTCCTTATGTCAATAACCACACCACGCAGAAGGTGTTCTGAATACCTAGCAAATGGTTTCCATATAGTTTTGGGGAGGAATGTGGCTTTTCAGGTTAGTTCCTGAAAATTTTGAAGACAACTTAATAGGTCAGGGAGTTTCTGCCACAGGAACTCCACTCTGCTTTATATGAAACTTGCTGAAACTTTTAGATATTCTCCTGAAGATTTTCTGAACTGCGCCTTTAAAACAAACCAGTGCCCAGTGGCAAACCAGTGTCACTTTCCTGGTGGTAATGGTACTTCAGAGTTATTAAGAGAGACTATCCAGCAGGGAATTTCTGAAGGCAAATCTGGACTGTTTCTTAGTTGCACATTTCTCTTTTACTTTATGTTTGAACGCAGACTTGGGATAAGTCCAAGAGCTCCTTCAATCCTCCCAAGCTGCAGTCTTGCCCACAAACTTAAGAGCATCCACACAATAGCTGTATTCTTATGTGTCAGACCTCTCAGCAAGCTACCAGAAAATGGAGGCTTGTAGGTGTGCATTCTGCCAACAAAGCAAGCAATCTTAAAAAATACAGGCTTTCAATTATGATTAAAAGGCCAGGTAGCCTCCAAGCCAGAAGAGAATAATCTCTCTGTCTCTGTGAAGTCCCTTCCTTTCCAGCGGCTGTACTGGTGGTTGCAGCCAAGCCAGAATGAAAGATGCTTTGCATGACTTTCAGTGTTTACTCTCACAGGAAGCACAGTATCCTGTCTGGCTGTTGGTATGCTCACCACCTGATTCCAGCACACTCCAAACAGCAGCCTTTTTACACAAGCAGAATGTGCTGCAGTTTAAATACTGGGAAAAAAAATAAGCAAGAAGGGCTGCTCTATTAATTGGTGGGTCAGAGCACTATTTGCTTAAGTGTTAGCACCGAATCAAGCTCTTCCTTTTGCAGCCCAGCAGAGACTCTCTGTGCTGCATGTCTGTGCCCTTCATGACTAACAAAATGAGGGCTCATAGAGACACCACAGTCCTCTGAGTTCTCCATTCTACAGCCTTCAGCCATCTGTGAGGGCGGCAGGAGCCAGGGCAGGACTGTGAAAGGAACTTAAGTCTACCTTACCCTGCAGGACAACCAATGGTTATAACATGTGTTCAAAAATGGTCCCTCCAGACAACAGTTCTGTGACTCTACAGTGGGATTTCATCAGTAACACTGAGCGGTTTCACCTTTTGCATTTGGAGGCGTGCGACTCTGAGCCCACCGTTCAGAGCATGTTGATAGACTGGAAAAGGTTCAAAGGACCACGAGATTACTTAGAAGGTTGCAAAATAGATTTCAGGCAGAAGTAACCAGGACTGCAACTTACTCTTCCTGTTATAGAATGTTCTTATATCCTCTCGAAGCAGAAATACCGGGAATAAAACTGATCTTAGGATTTTCATTCTGGCAGACAAGAGATACAAACAAGATCTGGTGGCTGTGGCCTGATGTGAAGATTTCCAACAACTGGAGCAATGCATTAAGGTAATCGGCTCTTCACTGCTGACTACCTCTGAGACCAGTCTCCTTTCCCAGACACACATTCAATTCAAAATACATTGATCTGGAATCGATTTTTACTGCTAGGCTCTGCGTTACATGGAGGAGTATAAGTGATGGCCTGTTAGATTCTCTCTTTAGGTTTCTAAAAAATGAGGAATCGTCCTAGAAATTTGGGAAACCTCTGATTCTCCTTTATGCAACTATTTGTCAACTTTAAGACATATTTTACCAGCTCTGCCCAACTGATGTGAAACTTACAGCTCCACCACAAGTTGTGTCTCCCAGGTAGGTGGCTCATTGCTGAAGCCTTGCAATTTTTTTCCTTGGAATTGAACAAACATAGGGAAAATTCACAGGTAACATGTGATCTGTAATTTCATACAATAGCTCGCTGTAAACTCTCTGCTTGTGTTGATTCAGTAACCAAGGAACCCCCAAGATACATTTCTTAAAAATCAACTAAAAACCCTCTCCAAACAGCACAGAAATGAATAATCTCAGGTTGCACACAAAACCAACCTGGCCTTTTATCTTTCTAATAAACGTAGCAATATAAACACAACTATAGACATTGTTTTTTAATTAGGAGAATGTGCCATGGGATGTTTACAGACCCCTATGGAAATGTATGGACATTTGGTTGCTTAGCAAACGACAGAACCTGAAAGATGTCTCAGCTAAGACATTTACAATTAGTTTGGCAGGAGTGGAAATAAAAGCTCTGGAAGCAAACATAAAGAACATTGACCCAAGAAAGGCCAAGACAGTGCTAAGGAAGGTTATGCAGAGGTACGCCTTACCAACAATTTTTATTTGAATATTAGCTTACCACAACTTTGTGTTTGTGAACAGCTGAATTCAGACTGCCATTGAGAAGGACTCGCAGGGAGCACCCACACATGGAAGCTGCTGTGTGGCCTGGTCTGCCACTGGGAACTTCAATCCTTCAGGGCTGGATATAGCTGGGCAGACACTGTTTATGAGAGAACAGAGTGAAAAAAAATCAGTGAAAGACTCATTTGCCATGTGGAGGTGAGACCAAAGGGAGATGCATGGCTCCTACAGAACATGTTGCCTGATGGATGGGTGGCAGAAGGCTGTGACCATCTGGATTTATGGGTCTGCACCATTTGTGACCGTGGCTTCTGTCTCTGAAAGGAAAACCTCCTGGAGTCTTCGAGGTGCAGCTGTGTATGAGAACCAGTTCGTACCAATCCCTCAACCTTGTCTTTGCTGTGAGCCATGGAAAGCAAGTTCCTGTGCTGCTGGCTTTTGTGTTCTAATAAACAAAGGAATCTAAATGGACAATTTAATTCTTACAGCCATTGTGGTTAGCTCCAAACCACATGGTTGTGTCAGTGTCACAAGGGAACTCTTCCCTTCTTGTACACAGTTAGCAGTTCTACTTCCAAATTTTCTCACCTTCATGGTGACATTGGTTTTATCCTCCTGGAAACTGGAAATAACAAAGTCTGGTGCAAAGAAACAGCGTGCTGTCTTTCAGGTTAAGTAGTTGAATAGACATGAGAAAACACTGTGTACTTGCCTGCGAGAAGAACTTTCCTGCAGCATCATCTCCCATAGTAATATTACCACAACTACAATCACATCTACCCCAAATACAACAGAGAGATACATCATGCAAAATTACTTCCAAACTATGCTGTCTTCACACAACATTCCTTTACCTTGGAAAAGCAGGAAGAAACCTGCCTGCACAGTAAGTCAATCAGATGGCAATACTGCAAGCATTTACTGCTTTACTGTTTGCCCCCTCCTCACTCCCACAGCCCAAGGGTTTCACCTCCTAGTGCCTGAGTTTGAAAGGGTGAAGTGCTGGGATTTAAAGGTTGCTCTGATTAACAGGAGCTGTTAGTGCTCTGTTACATGAATTAAGTTACATAAGTTCTAGATACAACTTGAGACGAATTTGTTTTTAATTTGAAACTCTGAATTTTGTGTAAGAAAAAAAAAAAAAGCATGGTCAGGTTGGTTTTTATAATGAGATGGTGAAAAGCCAGGTGAAATTAACTCCATAATCATTAGCTTGCTTTGCTTTTGGCCAAACAATTTGCACACCTAAAAGGTGGAGTTTGCAGCAGCTCTAATCCCACTTTAAGAGATACTTCAGACCAGCAGCTTTCAATCCTGTCAGGGATTTTTTCCCCAGTACAAATGCATAGCTTTAAATCGTGAACTTGAACTTGCTGGTACTACCTCTCTTACCCACCACAGGCCTTCAGCAATAGTCCACTCCCTTTGTGTTTCTATGGAGCACTGGGTCACAGCTGCTGCTCACATAACCGGCCCTATTTGCGTCACTCAGCAGCAGCATTTCTGTGCAACGAGAAAATCTGCCGGCCTTTATTTTACTGCTCAGGAATACAAGGTGTGGTGGAGCAGGGGGAAGGAATGTTTGCAATGGCTCTAATCTGCAAAGATGGGTTCCAGCTGCATTTCACATATGATTTGGGGTTTGGATGAAGTTTTGACAGAATTTCTCCATGAATTATGCAAGAGGCTGCTGGAATGCTGCAAGTACACAGAGAGACTTGCTCAGGCAGCACTCAGACAACACACTGCCATCCAACACATGAACCAAATCAAAGCCCACTCTGAAAGGCACAGCGGGGAAGGAAAGAAAGAAGTGGACCCCCAGTGCTTGGGGTGCCAAGGTGGGGACAGGCAGGCTGCCTGCAATGAGGTGCTGCAATGCAGCACTAGATGGTGCTGTATTTTAGAAATATCTTTGCCTTGTGGGTCCTTTTATATTTGATGAGGGCTCAGAGATGTGGCAGACACACACAAATACTTCTTTTGAGACGCACTGCTCTCTCTCAAAGGAAGTATGGATTTTGTTTGCTATTTTATAGCATAGGATTTAACATGGATTGATTTCACAACTGCTGAGTGGCCAGTTAAAATCTCCAGGTGCTTTTGGTTTCCTTTGAGTGGGTGAAAGGAACTTCAGGGCACCATGGAAAGTGTGTCAGGACATATGCTGTGTGCCCATGTCTGCTCTTCTCTGACTTAGCCTCTAGCTACCTCCAGGGTTTACTCCTACTGCTGTTTCTAACTGAACTTGAGCTGGGTCTACTTGATGTGTTTCTAAAGATGCTGGGCACTGATTCAAAGCTGGCCAATTACCCTCACTCTCAGCCACTCCAGCTGGCACTGCTGGGATGCAGCAGTTGGCCTGATCCATACAAGGCTGCAACAGGCAAAGAAGCTCTCTTCTCTGGGACAGGAAGGACTCTGAGACACCTGCTTGTTCCAGTCAGCTGTCCAAGGAGTGCATCTACGCACACTCTCTTCCCTCTAACTCCAGAGGTTTCTTTGATCCCAGGTTCAAGTGAGTTCAGTATCTTGGCCACAGACAGGGCAATCCAAGACAGGAAAGGGTATTTAATGTCAGAAAAGATCAGGGATGCAGTGCAGCAATGCTCACTTGGCAAGAACACGAAGAAGGGAGAAGGAGATGTCTTTTAGAGAATTGCAAGATGCCAAACCAGCTGGGACAGGTTATTAGCCCAGGAGCCAGTTCCATCAAGGAATCATTCAATTTTCTCTATCGGGCAACAGCAATCCAGATGCAGCTTCTTAGAAGGAAAGGATGAAAGGAAAGGATGAAGCAAACACTTTTTGTTTTTTTTTTAAAGGAAAAGGTGGTTCTACATTGAGGCAGTTCTAGAGGGTCTGTATGGAAGGCTGTGTAAGATGCATATTGGCATAACCAGAGTATCTGCTGCAATGCCTCATTGCTGAGTGAGAAGTGGTTCATCACTGGTTGGGTGCTGAGCAGCCTATCCCATCATAAAGCATAGCAAGGTTTAGTTTGGCAACAGAGATTGATATCTGGCTGCCTGGGTCTGAGAGGGGAGCGGTGAGCCAAGAAAGTGCTGCTCCAATCTACTGAAGTACTCGTGCTTGGGGCTGGCATTACTCAGAGTCAGCATTTAAATGAAGATGAAAGGCTTGTGATCATGTTTGCTTTATGGTCTGCAAAAATTCAACCAAGGATTGGAAATGATGAGGTTTCCCACTGCAGATAAAAGTCAGCTATGGGATGTGTTGTGCTCTAATGCCAAGCTTGGTAGCGATGTGAAATGATGAGCCTAGGAGCCCGCTAAGATACATCCTAGTGCTATGGGAATTAGCACTGCATAGCAGATGCCAGAGCCCTTAGCAAGACTTTCTCCTCTTACCTGAAGTCCCTGTGGCATCTCTAACAGGACAAAACATGCCAGTCCCAATGGCTCTGTATAAATTGGAGAGGTCTAAGGAGAAAGAAAGAGGAGATTGCCTGCAGCAGACAGCCCGGCAACAGAATATGTCATGTCATACCTGAGGATGCTATTCTGAGAGCTCAAGACAGGTTGAAAGAAGATTTATTCCACTCTCTGGGGAAAAGCGTTGGAAGGGGTTGGCATCTCTCCCAGACAAGAGTGAGTGGTGTTGCAAAAAACAGCCCAGGAAAAACAAAACATGCTTCCCCTTTGTAAGGAAGACCAGCCAAACTGGGTCCTACAGCCTTGGCTCAGAGTCCATCTGCAAAGTGTCTGCCACAGTCTGCTCTCACCGCGACAGATTGCGTGGGCAGGAGGACACTGTTGGTCAGAGCTTAGGGCAACAGGACCAAATCTTTGCAACCTCTCCCTATCCTGTTTACGACTAGTTCTGACAGGTAGTAGGGATCAGAGCCCTACAGCACTCCAATCTTTGTCCTCCCCTCGCTCATCCGTCAAATAAATGGGCAAGCAGAGATACCCAAGCTCACACTGTTCTGCTTAGTTCCCCCAGCTCTCAGCTCAACTTTTAACTCCTTATACTTCTTCCAGTTTTATCAGACATAATGTTTTTTACATGGGTTACTTGGAGGAAAAGTTATTTAAGGTTTCTACTATAAGATTCAAGGATGGGGGAAAAAAAAGTCCTGAAGTATCTGCAGTATCCCACAACTGAGAGGGCTGTGGAACTGAAGGACAACTTGGATTAAACCATTAAAGGTGTTTCAATCAGTTCAGTTCTCAGGGGAAGATCCAAGAGTAGAGAATCCAGCCAGGAATGGCAAAGAGGGGAGTGGGAGAAACATGGGGAAGGCTGTGAGGGGAGATATCTCCTCACATACACCTGTCCTGCAGAAAATTGTGGGTTCACATCCATCTGGACGTTGCCACTGCTGGGGATGTGGGGAGTTTAAAACCTGTTGTGTACGAATAAGGGAGACATTACAGTGTGCTCTATTACTTGCTGACCTGCCAGGAGATCCCTCAGCAAAAGAAATACAGTCGTGCCCTGCTACCCTCGTACACCCGATTTGTGTGTGGCCCAGTTTCTGACTACTCATAAAGTAGCCTCTGTTTTAGAGGATCCAACTTCTCAGTCTCTCCATGGGCAAAGCCAGGATTTTTTTGGGCTTGCGCCTGCTGCTGTCTTTGGGATCTGCCTTACTGCTCCTTCTTGAATTAGAAAGTATGCACTACTGGCAGCTAGAAGCACAGTCTCCTCTCCCCACATAAGGCCAAAGACTCATTTCTTCTCTTCAAGTTTAAATAAAGCTCTACTGTTTTGAAGTGTGATAGAGGGCTGGCTTTTGTTCTTTAACTACTGATCAGTGCCTTGCAGCTCTAGGCCATCAGGCCACCACTCAGCTCCTCTGCACCGCGTTGCCAGGCCAGCTGCCTCTGGCTGGACAGAGGAAGCATCTGTCTCATTCCCACCTGCATGCCCAGATAACCAGACTAAGTGATTCACTGGATCTCCCATTGGAAATCAGCCTAGAAGTGGGGGGTGAGGCAAATGCTTTTTCTGTCCCCAGCTCAAGTTCCCCTAGACACTGCATAAATACCTGACTCTGGCTGTGATACAGCAGCTTTTTTTCAGCAGAAACATGGAGAATAAAGACTCAGGGGATTGCTCCAGTAGTGTTCTCAGGACTTAAAGCAGCCATCTTGTGCAGAGAAGACAAAGGCAGATGAGCAGAGATGAAAAATATGGGTCTGAAGAAACAAAGCTAGTTTGTTCATGGTATATAATCACACGAGTAGCCCAGCCTATGCTATATTCTGAGCTATGGCTAGGGGCAATTAGAACAAATCTATCTGAGTTTAATTTACTAAAATAACATCCCTCTAGAAGTAGTTGGAAATCCTCCGTATTTGCATTTCAGTTGTGTCATTTCTCTGCCTTTAAAAGTCAATGAATGCCAGATGTTTCTGATTTCTCTTTCCAGCAAACAGGTATCTTGCCCAAACCATTCCATTTATATTAGACACAATTTGCTGCAAAGTTAGTTTTGTAGAAGTGAGAAGGGAGCAAAGGGGAAGGGACAAGCAAAACCCAAGAGCTGCCAGCATCTATCATGCAAAATGACTCTGAAGGAAATGGGGGACATGCAGCTGTCATGGCAAACAGCCACAGATTGAGGGCATGAAGCACTAATGAACAGGAAGAGCAAAGCCAGAGCCACAATTTTATCCCCTGTTGATATCCTACAAGAAAAATGATCACAGAGAACATTTATTGCCCCCTAACAAGATCAAGCTTAATAGCAAAGCTACACATGTTATTTACTTCCATGTTTGCCTATTGCATAAAGCAGAAATGTCTGTTGCCTGGATCCTCCCTGTCTGTTGAGGTCCTTTCTCTCGGGCTGGCTGTATGCAAGGGAGGTAGGTTGAAAAGATCCCAGAAGGGGTTCTAATGCTGGGGAAGATGATGAATTGCACTGGGCCCTAGCTTAATTACAGTATGGAGAACATGTAATGCAAAACCCTGTCCATCATGCCTCTTGCCCAGCTTGTACAACCTATGGGACACAAGCAATTAACATTCTAAAAACTGTAATGTAGAATAAAACAAAGTGTGCTATCACACCCAGCAGGTTCAGTTTCATATTGGAGTGGCTGTCTAACATGTCCTCTTAAAGTGCCCTAATTTCATGAGGCCTTTTGTATAGAGGATGAATCCCACCTATGCATGTAGTAAGCCTTGGGTAGAAGAACATGTGCTCATAATGCAGGGAAATAGAGGATATTGAAAGTGAAAAAAGATGTGAGAAGCAAGTCAGAATGTCAGAGAGGACTTGGAGTATCTGGGCTGGACAGTGAGAACTGCAGAGAGCAGTGGCACGAAATCTTTTAGTCAGACAGAAGAGAGACACAAACAGGCAAATCACTGCTCCTGTACTTGGCAGTTCCATGCCCCAGCACTCACAGCTGCAGCACGTGCTCTTGCTATATGAGTTTTCCAGAGTGTTCCCCTTCAGCACGCTCACTGGAAGCAGTACCTGCTCAGCAGTCTCTACAGAGAACAACAGGCTGGTTACTGCCCACCTGTTCACACTGTGCCCCATGAACTGAACCATTTGAGATTATGCTCTGCTAGACCAAGTGTACTGTAAACCATCTCTGTCCCAACTTTATTCTATGTTTATGAGCATCTGTCAACCTTGTCTACCTCCTTGCTCCAAAGAGGAACAGTAGAGAAAAAGAAGATCCTAATGTTTAATTTTCAAAAGATGCACCGTTATCTGCTTTTCTCATATCCAATAGGATATGCCTGGTTGTCAGGGAGGGGAAACTAGCCCTGGCACAACAGAAGCAGCAGTTCTAAAAATATCTTAAACACAGCACAGAAGAAAAGGAAGAGACATCTTCATCTGTCAGGCACTGTTTTACAGTTACACCCTGTGGATGCACATGATTGATTGTCTGAGTATGCCTGCCACATGTGAAAGCATCCCAGGAGCAGTCAAACAGGAATACAAAACTGCTATTCTTATATTGATATAATTGTTTTTGTTTTGTTGTGTTTTGTTTTTTAACCTCCAAAAGACATTAAAAATGTGCAAGGAGACAAGACGCAGGGTACCTGAGCGGAGTGACAGAAGACAAACAGGAGAGACCTCAGCATCAGCATGAAGCAGCAGAAAGCAGGGCTTGGGGGGCACCAGGGGACATGTAAACTCTTAATGTGCCTCGGAGGGGAAAACAGTGGCTGACAATGCGTCTGCTTGTGAAGGAATACCAGCACGTGCTCTCTCCTCCAGAGGTGAGAAAGAAAGCAACAGACATGAAAAGAAAAACAGAGAAGGCGAAAGGGGAGTGTAGTCTGAAAGGATGAGCTGTGAAGGAGCTATGGAACAGAGGCTCAAGATTTTCTAGGAAACATCGAGTCCTTTCAAAACTGGTGGGGTGCATAGAAAAGGGAGACAAAAGCTGAGCAATCTCCGTGCCATTGGCAGCAATCTGCAATCAGTCCTTTCTGCTCCTCCACCATTACAAAGCACTCTGCTGCCTCTTACCTGGCTTGTGATGCTGGCTGAACTGGGAGACTTGCTGCTTGGGCAGTTTGGGTCCACATGCTGCAGGGTCCAGCTCCAGCAGAAGACAAGCAGAAGACAAGTCTGCACTACAAAAATAAAGCATCAAAGCTCACTGAGCAGTTGATAAGAGGGAAAAACAAAATGGGAGAAAGGGCTTCTCTTCAACTTAAAAACACTGCGTAAGCAACTTTGTCCTACTGTTTCAGGTCACGTTGCTGCCATGTGGCATCAGGCAACATAAACTGCAACACTGTTAATGCGATGCAGAAGGAAGTACCAATTCCCCAGCTAAAGTCTTGGAGCATCAAACAGGCTGTCAGTAGCTGTTTCACAGGGGGTAATGCTTGCATGGTGATTAGTTCAGCTCCTGAACTTCTACTGAATCACAGTTTCAATGTCTTTCCAATGTTGGAGCCACAAGGAAAAGGCAGACATGTAATGCCACAGAGCCAGCTAGCTCTTACCTGCTTTTGTTATCAATTGGCTCAGGTTTTGGTGTTAACTCTCTGCCCCCGTGTGAAATATAGCAGGAGTAGCATCTGGCTGGGAGGTCTTTAGAACAAATGCATTCAAATCATCAAACACTGTACTGACAGTTCTAGCTGCTTTAAGTTCAACAGGATGGATTCCCAGCCCTATCAGAGTGAATCTGAGCCCTGAATTCAGTTCCTTCACTTCTAGAATTTGAGCCTGATCAGACACTGTGCAGTTCCCATCAAAAAAGCCCACGGTATTTCCACAAGGTACAGCTGCTAATATACACTACATGTAGTGATGACTCACATTTGCAGATAAAATTGTTCTGATAATGATGAAGTTAGTCCGTGAATCTTCTTGTAGGCTGCAGATCAACCATTTCCTTCCTCTTGATTTAAACAAGCTGGTAGGAATGCTTTACTCTCATCTGAAACTGAGTTTATCAACTCACAGTGCACCTGAAATTCCATTGAAAAGAGACACTTCTGTCTCAGGACATCCACCCACAACATCCCTGCCAAGGCAGAGAATTCACTGACAACACGTGGTGCTGCTTCACAGAAGTGAGGAAGAATCTTCCCAGGCTCTAAAATCACAATTTCCCTACTTGCAGAGACCAAAAAGGCAGAACTGATCTTTCATGTAGGAGTCATCCCCTTCAACTTTCCTCCAGGCCACCACTGCAAGGCAAAAGCAAATGAGAGACTAGTTTCCTCCCCAAGGAAAGAAATAAAACAAATAAAAAGAACAGACACGACAGAAATAATTTGTCAAATACAACACTAGAGAGCAAGTCCTGCTCCTCACTGACCCATGTGTAACCTCCTTACAGCTAGCTGGGACACACACATGAAAATAAGGAAAGAATTTGGCATTTGGACTTTGAAAAACATCTGAGAAAGCTCCACCCTACTAGCATTATTTTTTAAATCCATTCTGTCTTCCATGATGCAGAAAGTTCCATTGTGTTAATTTAACTGATGGAAGGACAGAGAGCTGCAGTGTAACCTCATTTCACTGGCGAAATCACAATTAGAAAAGCTTTTATCATCGAGCTGTTTTGTTTCAGCTGACATCACAAATGCTTTCTCTACTGTCCCTCACCTCCTTTCACTTCTATTTACTTCTCCAGCAAGCAGAGCTGTGAGCGTACCAGCCACAGCATCTCCATTTCAAATGGTTTGGCTTTCCTTTCCACAACACTATTTCCTGACTCTTTTTCCAATCTGTTGCTTGCTGAGCAGAGGATTAGGAGAAACTGAATCAGGCAGAAAAAGGTTTTCTCTAGGCTGGCCTACAAATAATACCTTTTCCCTCTAAGCTCAGGTACCCAAGCAGCTCCTGCTTTGTACTGGATACACAGAAATCTCCCTAAATTATCTGCATGTGCGCAAAGGGATTGTTTTGAAATTGAACCTTATGAAGTGTATCTTGAGCCTAGCTCAAGTTTGGACACACTGTTGAAATTTGGATTTAATTAATTCCACTTGAGTTTTGAAATGGTGCGATACATTTTTCAGAGGTTTGCCCCCCCCCCCCCCCCTCCATTTCCTGGATCAGAGCCTCGACCACATTCATGGAAACACTGAAGGGAAAAAAAATCCGTAGCAATAATTCACCAAGTGGGAACTGAAAACATTTGCTGAAGAAGAAGGAACCTCTTGGTCTTTGGATGCTGGGAATAATTCAACCTCTCCTCCTAATTCCCTGAGGCTCAAGCAGCCCTTTTTCCGGCAGAGCTGTGGTTATTTGAGCAAGCTGCCCTGGGGACAAGTGCATGTTACTTGTAGGATTTGGGCTGGGAAGATCAAGCACACAGATTTGTAGGCAAGAAAGGGTTTTGTGTTTTAATAACTGCCAGCAGAACCACAGAAGAGCCCAAGCTTTCAGGATGAAAAGTCCTGTGCGGCAGGATTCAGCTCAGATATCTTCAAAGCATGCAGGGAAGTGAAGACATGAACATCATCTCCTTCAGTACAACATTCTGCATGCAACAAATGTACAAATCCAGGACTCATACAGCTTTCACTTCATGCTTCTCTCCTACATTACTCTTTTTTTTGGAGATGTTTCCCAGTGTATCATGTGCCAATCAATAAAATTAATGTTGCTCTATAAGCAGCAAGCCATCTGCTCTGTATGTGCCATTTGCAGCTGTGCAAACAGCGCCGTGGAACATGGTATTAGAGAATTTCTCCCTCCAGGGTCTGGCATTGTATGAGATTTCCAGGACAGTGAGGTGCCTGAATCTTTATGAAGGATTGCCAAGACAAAAAACAAACAAGGATGCTGCCATGATGTCCCCCCAGTCTCCTGCAGGTAAAGGATTCTTAGAGACCTACCCTGATTGCAATGAAAACCCCATGTTCGGCCACTGGAGGGTCCTAGGATTACCCTTCAACTTCTCCTCCTTAAAAAACAAACAACAAAACAGCCGTCAGGTTCCCAGAAACAACAATATTTGCATCCCAGAACAGTCCCACCAGCAGCATGGGGGCTTAGAGGGAGGATGAAGAGGGCAGGAGATCTCTGCATGGCAAAAGGAAAAAAAAGTGCCATCTTGGACTATCTGGTCCTGATCAGCAGTGAGCTGTTTGCAGGGTGTGCAGAGTGAGAATGGGTGACACAAACTGATCCGAACTAGAAGTTAGATTCCTGATGTCCTGACTACTAGGAGAGCAGATTTTGAAGCAACTGCTCCCTTCTTGAAAAGCACAGTCAGATCAGCAGAACGTGTTAATGTCTGGTCATCACCCAGCCTCCAACTCTTTAAGACTAGCAGGTAAAAGTACAGCCAACCTGCCTGGTTCCAATCTGTCATGTTTACTCAAATCCACTAAACATAAAACTAGAATGCACACGGGGCAATGTATATACCACTGGTCCAAATTCCCCTTCAAAAATACACCACGTGACCAAAGACAAACCACAATCCCACAACCAAGCATACATTTCAGGAGAGATGCACTACATAACTATGGTTTCCTTTACTTCTAAGAAGAAATAATTTCATCAATTTTGTACCTCTATGTTTAGTGATAGCTAACTGGATCTCATTCAAGATTCTCATCACCTTTAATGACTGCTGAATCCAAAGAAAATCAGTGAGAAAAACTTAACTGAATTCAAATTTACTGAACTGCAGAGCAGCAGTTTCCACTTTACAGACTACAGCATCTGTAGATTTTAGCTCTCTGAGTGATGCAGACAGGAGACAGCAGTGGAATCAGACACGTTTCTTGAATGGTCTCTCCAACACCACCAGCCCAGGCACTGGGGAGGAGTCTTTCTTCCTCAGCAATTGCACCTCATAGTTAAAGATGAAGAGTTTCCAAGGTAGAATTCTTTAACAAAACATTCTGATATCAGTAAAACGCTTGTTTATTGACAGAAAATATTTGGATGCAAGTAGCGCCTTAAAATCTAAGTAGAAGACAAAGCACTTTGTTTTGATGAACTGGAAACAGAAATGATCTATTTTGATTAGAAGTGACTAACTCAACAGAGAAAAAAAATAAAGATGGAAATGAGTTGAGGCTTTTACTTGAATCAAGATGCCTCTTAAACATCTTGGCATGAACGCTGGCTTTTCCAAATCTCTTTACACTGTTTATTTCTAAATACCGGATGTCTGGTTTGCTCAGTGCACGTGCACATGTGTGCATATGAAATATTTGCCTGGCTTTTCTGCCCCAGCATCACAATCATAGCACACAGACTTGAACTACTGGCACTGAGAGGGAAAATGCAGCAGACAAAGAAGGGGCAGGAAATAGTACAGATTATGTTTGGTTTTCCATATACCCAGCTAGGTTTCTTCAGAAACTGTTCCCGTATTTCTGGGGAGCAGAGAGCCTTTGTAATTCAGAATAAAAACTTTCCTTGCCCAGCATGCTCCCTAGCAGGGCAAGGCCTGTAATAATTACTGCTGTAACCACGTGCGGTGTCACAAGGCATGTTATTCCATCTTGGTCCTTCCAGCACCCTGACCGGAGAATCTCTGCTAATTACTGGTAATCAAATACAGATTGCCTTTCTAAGGATCTAAATCTTCGGCTTCACAGCAAAAACACAGCTTGGGAAAGATGCTGGTCATCTGCCATCCAAAAGGCAAGAGCTGGCTGGGCAGGGAACACCAAGACTTTGTCTCCTTTCACATTTAAGAGAAAAGCAGCTTTCTTGCTCTTGGGCTGCTGCCAGAGCTATTTCTATCAAATGAACCCACCGTGGACAGCAGACTGTGCAGTCAAGGATTTAATAAGCCAAAATGTTTCCCATGATATTTGGGCTACTAAAGACACACAGCCCAGCACAGCAGGTTTCTTCCAGCAGCTAAACTGTCAGCCATGGGCGTCCCTTGCTGTCTGTGAACACAGGCTGGGAGCACAAAGGGCCAGGCACGCTCTTTGACTTAACGAACCACAGAAAGACCAAGCCAGCATGACAGCAGACGCAAACAAGAATGTAATTAGAGGTGGATTATAAATCTTTGGCTAGGTACCTGGAAACACTTGCATTGTGAGAGAAAGTCTTGCTGATGGCATTTGGGCTTAATTTAGGTCACGATTACAGACAGGGTGCTCTGAACTGGCAGGGGTCAGATGACAAATCAAAAACAGGCTCCTATTTGTCTTGACTCCTGTTGCTGGCCTCACCTTTCCAGCCCCAAAGCCCAGACAGAAGCAAGCACTGTTTTCCCCTGGCCAGCTGGTGAGCAGCAAGTGTGGTGCAATTCATGCTCGCTCTGCTTGCACTGTGTCTGTCCACAGAGCAGGAAAAAAAACAACACAGTTAAGTTCTTTTGCTCTAAAGAACATGTTTATATCCAGAAAGCAGAAGAGCTCCAAACCCAGCAAGGGGAGTGTACAAGTCAGTTGCTGTGTGGGGAGCCCCAGAAAACATAGGTGTGCATGCTGTGATATACAGAGAACCCAGAGCCTTTTGGAAAGGTCTCTGTACCACTCTGCACGGAGAACTTTTCTTGTCAGTCAGGGCAGTTCCTCAGATCATGGCAGTTCTAAGACCTTCACTGGCTTGTTTCTTTCTCTCTACAAAGTAGGAGAGTGGCACAAACTGGTGGGGAGACCCTCAGCCAGGAGGGAACCAGTACAATAGATATCTAATCTCAAAAGCACTATTTCTCTAGGTGGATCTTTGCCAAGTTTGGGCTATCACTTGAGAGTGTCCTGCTCTTGATGTTGAGATTTGAAAGTATCTGCTCGAAACTGTGTCTCTTTCATTGTGTCATGCTACCTTGGTAAGTCTGGCATGAAGTTTAGACCCATAGGCACTGCTCCAGGCATGTGCCTGTATATGGCACTCAGCAGTAAAGCACTGAGCTTTAAAACTCTTTGCTCTTCCCAGAACTATACCACGCCAGAGGCATCTGCAGCCAACCTGGGGCCTCAGAGCAATGACTCAACCTGAAAGTAGAGTGGAAGGAACCATGACTTACCCAAACCTGAAGAGCACATGCTTGACAGACAAAGGAACACTTCAGACCTTTGCATCCCATCACCAGATCGTGCTGTCTCTTCTAAAGTATCTCAGGGCTACTCTTTACCCTTGCCCATGCAGGATAGAGCAGCCACATTTTGACCAGTCCAGGATGCAAACCTGTGAAGAGAATATGGATGGGACATTAATAGGAACGTTAATAAATGAGCTGAGTTTTCAAAGAGTTGGATGGTGTTTGAAGTGTTAATGGTCAAAGGCTACGATGTGATTTAAAAACTAGCTGGTGTGGACACTGGCTGGCTTTGTTTGAGGCTGTTTGCATTTCAGGCCCACCGGCTCTCATTCATCTCCAGAGAGGCATATTTAGCTGTCACTTGAACTGAACCCTGACTGACACTTCATGCAGATTTTCTTACATTGGGTGGCTGGTCAGCGAGTCCTGGCAGGAAAGCAGTATAAAAGTAGCTGCAAAGGTTGAGGTCTGATCTGAAATCCTTCTGAGTTTCTGCAAAGCATTCCTCTGATATCAGTAGGCTTTGGATGGGAGCCATCACAAACAAGGCACATGCTACAGTACATCACAGTTATTTCTATCCAGGAGAACAAGACAAGTTTCTAGGGGATAACCAGCAGCTGGTGAAGGCAGTAGGCATCCAGTCTCCTGAGTTTTGCCCCAAGCAATCTCTTGAGCCCCAACAAATTCTTTTCTGGGAACCCTACCCATTCTATTGCTGTGGGACCCTTATAACCATCGGTTTTATTAGTAAAGCTTTACATGTTTTTTTCCCAACCTCTCTCCCTGCTATCAGGGCACAGTGTAGCACGGTTGCTTGGACCAAATGCACATGATCATTGCTACTAATCATAGCCATTCTGTCCTTGGCAGACATAGCTTTGCTGCAGAGCCCCACAAGGGCCATTTGATGCCTTTCAGTTCACAGTTCTCTAAATAACTCACTGGTGCCAGAGGGCACATCTGCTCTTCATGTGTTCACCAGCAGACAGGTGAGATCTGGTATCATCTGCCTAATCTGAAGACATTTTTGTTTGCATTTTGGGGGTTTTCTTTCAACAGCTCCATTTTCTGTGTTTGCCTGAAAGATACCAGGGCAGTGTGAGGAAGTGTAGAGCCTCTGAATAGGAAGGGGGAATAAGATGATCTGTGAAAAGGGCTGGGAAATATGGAGAAGCAAAAGGAGAAAAATAAAAGGAATGGAATTTACTGTATTGTGTGGTGAACCTGCTTGCAGTCACCCAATTGTTGTTTATTCCTTCCCAAATTCAAACCAGACCTGCTGTCTTGTTAGTTGGTGCCTACACAAACAAGTGACTCTGTCCCTCCTCAAGGGATCCATTTTCCCCACACAGTGGCCATATTTTTGCTGCAGCCATGCTGACTGAGGAGGACAATGGTCCCAGCCTTTGCTATCCGTGTTGATGCTGAAGTTAACTCCTGTTGAGTGCAGCACCAGACAATTACAGAAGAGCAGAAGGCCTTACTAGAAGTACATGCACGTCCTTTTAGCAACCGGTAGCAGGAGGTGAAAGTTCTTTGTGCACAAAGGTCATAGGAGATGACTCGTGTTTCACAGTGCTGCTCTCCAGGGCCCTGTCTCCCATGGCTCTGTGCTCAGCCAACTTGAAAAAGATGCTTTTTAAACCCAGTTACATCAGTACTTATGTGCGACAGCCAATTATTCCTCTGTCAAATAGTGCTCATTATGGGCAATCATTTATTTCAGCAGAAGCGTTCTTGCTTGGCAAGGTGGGAGGCACACTTTGCATCAGGACTCTCAGTGCTGTCTGTGCCCAAGCAATGTGGAGTTGCTGGGAGGTGTCACAGACAAGACACTGGAGTCACATGGGATGGTTTAAGCTTAACAGCAGCCCAAGAAGCACAAGCAGACAATTCACCAAACATGGTCTATGAGACCAGCAGCATGTGAGTACGCCCTTCAGTGTACCCTGGCTTCCAAAGCAGTGTGATTTAATCCAGGTAGGCCTATGACCTATACCAAGGCCAGCGTGCTATCTTGAGTTGGACTAAGAATACCCCATTTTTCTGCCATTTACTGCCATCTCAGAGGTGTGGAATAACAACTCCAAAGCAGGAATATGACCCACTGGTTAGCTGTCAACAGAACACAAGCATGCAGCCTTCCTGTATGCATCAACTTAGACACTGTGGCAGCAGGCATGTTTTCAGCAAACGTAGCTGAAATGATAATTTTAAGTTATTTAAAAGCTGATTAGCGTCAGTTTTAATCTGCCAGCATATTTTTAATAACAAACTCAGGATGATCCTAAATTTTCTTCACCCAATGCTGCTGAATTTGGATATTCAAGACTCAGGTGCTTTGCTGTTGGCACGTGAGAACATCAGTTGGGATTCTGAGAGAGACTTTATGCTGTGATGACTTGCAAACCCACCCAAGATATACAGAAAAAGTACTATTTTAGCTAATCTAGAAATGCACTAAGAATGCACTCAGTTATAGGAAAGAACAGGGCAGATGCCAAGCCTGTTAGGGGAACAGGAAGAAAGAGGAGATAAAGGCAACTTATGTATTTTGAAAATAAATCAATAAATACAACCCTTGTTTTACTGTTTTTCCCCCCACTCGCTAAAACACGCAATTAGCTCACTTACAAATCAATCACCGATGGCTTATAGGCAAATTGCTTCAGGTTCTTGTTTGCTTTCCATAATTTCTGAAGGCTGAAATGAATGCTCCCATGGAAAAATTACTAACAAGTTTCTAGTTCGGTGCGTCTTCCAAAGTTACGTGGATTTCAGTAAAACCAAAACACTTTCTGAGAAATTTTCAATTCCCTCCAAGCCTTCAGCTCCCCACACCTCCCAGACAAATCAGGGCAAAGGGATATTCGTGGTAAAATTTCCATTTGGATAAAGAACGTTTCATTAAGGAACAGAACATGATGCTGAATAAAGAGCTCAGTCCAATTCTAGCCCAAACACTGGCTAGATGCATTTTCCCAAACTGCTTTTCTTCATCTCCTTTCATACCATTTTCCTGTATTTTTTTTTTTAAATGGAAAAAGGTATTCCAATAAAAAGGACTCAGAGGGTCCCAGTTTGAACTGTGCAGAGCTTTTATAGCTCCTGGGTGCTTAGCAGATCGGGGCTTTGTTTGTTTTAAATATGCATTACATTTATTCCAAATAAACTCTATAAATCAATCTTAGTAATAGAAACCAGAAAAGTTTATGCAAAACAAATATAGAAAGTCATAAATACTGTGTTTAAGATGTCATTTTTGTGGCTGGTATATTTCTATGGTATGTTTTTACTGTTCGTGGGATAAATTTTTCAGAAACATAAAAATCTTTCCTCCTCTCCATTCTCTATAGGTTTATCCCAAAGAAATAATGAGGCTAGCTCCATAAACCAGCATTTATTAAATCCAAATGGGCACTCCATCCTACAGTAGCTTTCAATATAATCTATTTGATCTTTCAGAGTTGCTGGAAAATGATTTCAAGGGGAACTTTCACAGAACAAATTAACTTGAAAGAAGAGAACGTTTTATACCCCAAGGAGGGAGGAAAGCCATTTCCCCAGTTTGTTTCTGCATTCCCCTCAGCCTGACTGCAGATACGGCTGTTGGAAGAGGCGCTCTGGCTGATCTTAGCAGTGATGCCAGCAGCCCACAGAAAGCAGAGTGAAGACCCCAAAGATGGGGTTATAGGCCCATAGGAGTATAACAAGACAAGTTTGGTGACATTTCAGATTGCAGAAGAAATAGAAAGGAACAGACTCATATGGAAACTAAAATCTGTTTGTTCAAGTCTCAATACAAATCTACCTCTTAGAAGCTATATTTCTGTATTTTTGGAGAGACTTTATTTCCAGCCTGCAACATCTCTTTAGAGAAGTAAAGCCATCACTGAGGCTGTAACGTGGTCAGCAAATCGGGGCACTCTCTGATTCTAAGAATTCAAAACTTAAGGCATTGCAGGCACACAGTGCTAGAGGTGAAAGCCCTGCAACACGTGGGGTGCCAGCAGTTGCTTCTAGGAGGGAAAACTTAAGTTTTGCGCACTCTAAGCCAATACCTATCAAGTTTTTCTTCAGTAGCTGTGGGGAAGGAGTCATTCTTATTTTAGAGGTGAGGAAATGGGGATACTTTGTAAAGATAAATGTGATTTGGCCAAGCCAGAAAATATCCAGTGGCAAGCCCCAAAAGCCTAATTTTGTTGTCCTAGTCATAACTACCGCTCCTGCTTCTCTAATGATAGGGGTGAACTTTGAGATCTTTGCCCTTACAGTGCTGGAGGCTGAATTTGCAGGTAAGTCTGTCTTGGCTCCTAATGAAAGGTTTGTATCCCACTCAGGAATACAGAAACCCTTCTGGTGGACAAGCATGCTGGGCAGATTGCCTGCTGCCAACAGCACAAACATCATCAGCTCTCACTGGACACCTACCTCCTCCAGCACCCAACAGCCTGCCCAGAGCCAACAACAACCAGACTCCAGACAAGGGTTACCTACTGGCTTGGGGCTGTGAGAAACCTCAGTTCACCTATAATCACCTTTCTCAGCACAAGCAATCTTTGTCTGAGCTAAGAGCCATGGCCAGGCACTTCCCTCTGGGCCAGCTACAAACTGCTTCCCCATACTCTCTGTAACTTCCAAGAGGAACAAAATCATTTGCTGCTCTGCCCTTAAAACCAGACAGGTGGTTTTATCACATGCTGCTCAGTGGATACCATGTTCCAGCCCTAGGGTGACTGCATATCACCGATTTAAAGCAGGACTAGGAGATGGAGGCCAAGAAGAGAGGCATACCCTCATGTGTTTCCTGAAGGGGTTTTGTGCAGCTGAACTCACACTGGAAAATCTCCTGTTCCTATTCTGCAATTAAAAATAATTTTCCCCTTATTTTTTTCCTAGGTGAAGGAGAAAGAAATTGCAGAAGTAGGATACTAGAAAAATCAATTCAAGCAGAAGAGCACCACCGAACAGGGTACAGACTGTGCTATTAAAGTACACAACTAAAACTGGATGGTTGGAGCAGGTATGGCTTTTCAGGAGCCCAGACATCTCTGTGCCACTCAGGGAGCTGCAGTCGTGGTGGATCAGGTGCTCTGGGCGAGCTGTGTGCATGCCAGAGCTTTTGCTATAGCCAACTTTGAGA